AGCTGTATTCCGCTACTGAATTCATGTACGAGACTTGGGGATCAGCACATATAGTTACACTGATGATATACATCCCTTCCATTTGTATCATTCCAGTCAGTCTAAAACAGAACAACTCAGTGCTCTTCCCTTTGCCAATTTTTTTTAAGACACCTGAAACTGAAATTACACTGAAGTTGTCAATAGAAGATGAATCTAATAAAAATAACTAGAAAACTGTTAAAAATGAGGGCATAATGAAAAACTACATTTCCCAGAACTCACTAGGAAAGGTCTTCTGGCCAGGGCCAACTACCCTTGCCTTTGCAAAGGACTAGCACGTCTCAGGAACTTGCTGCTCAAGTTCGAGGTCTTTATCATGCTTATGTTACTTTATCTTCCAATTAAAGAGTTTCCAAGACTGTATAGATATTACTCTTTTTCTGCTTGTTATACTTTATTCCTACACTTTACAATGCTTTTAGAAAAAAAACTATCCATAGCTTCACTGGTAATGAGGAAAGTATTTTCTTTCTTCCCTCATCCTTTAGCTTTATAGACAGTAACAGTGATGCCTTTTGTTCATTAGCAAAAGAAGCCTTTCCGGATCTCTGCAACAATCAATGAATATCAGCATCAACTGTAAATGGTGAGTAATTAGCCAGGCTTAGGAAATGAAGAATTAGAGGTGGGCTCCAGCTGCAAAATATTGATTTTTTTTTTTTTCCAACAGTATAGAGTTCCATCAATGCTGTGATATAATTCATTATGGGTAATGGCTGCAAGTGGTCAAATGGATAAGGAAATATAGTTACTCGAAAAGATGAGTCCTATTTCCCTAAGTGGTAACCAAACGTAAGCAAACAATCCTTAGATAGTTTTCAAAAAGTCTCAAATTCTTTCTTTTGACGTTGAAGGACTTTATTATATTTTTGTCAAAAAATAATGCTGATACTTTCAATATGTTGCCACTTATCCAAGTGGATTGAAATGCTTTTATTAAGCAAAAATTCTAAATTTAACTATGGTGCAAAAAGCCCCAGCATTTTGGGGGAGGGGGGGCGGGGAGGGGGAAAGAAAATTCTGATAATATTGGGAAGTACTAGAGTGTCACAAAAAGAGCTCTTTAAATGATTTTTTTTTTAAGTAAAATCTTTAGAGTTAAAAAAAAAAAAAAAAGCCTAGTTGTACCAATTCATCTTTTGGAATATCAGAAAGTTACTTTACTGAAAAAAGGCAAGATAAGGAAGCGATTCAGTAGCATTTGCAAAAGTAGATATTAAAGTTGTGCAACTTGGGCAATGCAGTTGTGCAGGTAAAGAAAATGGCAAGGCCCAAACCTACCTGCTTATGCATGGACCCTGCTTAGGAAGGCTCACTGTCTTCCATGCTGTTTCACACAAGCAGACATTTGCCTTGTGAAACCACATGTGGCCCCAGGTAGAATTTAAAGCAGCATACAGTAAAGGACAATGCCACATCTCCTCAAAGAAAAGCTGCTTTGGGTAGATGTTAGTGTGAGATGTGGTATGTTACATGGTGAAATGGATGTAGGAAAGGGATATATAAATGGATGCATAAAAAGGACATGCCTTATATCTGAACTATTTCAACATGCTCCAAGAGATACAACTGGATACAAAAGAATAAATAAAGCTGGAAAGGAATCCACAAACATTTTAATGCATTTTGTAATACTCCATTGTGTCTGTGCGCACACAAAATGTTATTCACCCTGCTAGTAAAACCCTTGTTATAGCTACTAGATACACTACATATAGCTACGTATAGCTACACTAGAAAGAGCAAGCCTTAAAACCAAAACAAACTGCTTCTCTACTAACTTTGTCCTGCTCTATTTTGCAATCACTTTCTTTTGCGTTGTTTCTTAGCAGAAGAATCATTGTGTCAGTAGACACAATGCAGTAGATTCACTGCACTAGAGGTCATGTCGCTGACTTGTTATGTTATACTGGTATTGTTTGGAATAACTTGTATTTTTATATGATTGCAACTTCTAGAAAACTGGCACAACACAAAAATTTTGACTGAACAGGTTAAAGATGCACAATCATATTTTGAGTATCAGTGTTTTCTCCAGTTATTAATATAACTCAATAAAAAAAGCTGCAAACAATAAGAAGTGGCAGGAATAGAACTTGAAAATGATTCCCTGTAAGTATATAGCTTGACCAAAATACTTTTGTTAATATCCTGTTAATATAAAGGGGACTCACGTAATGTGGGAATTACTAGGGTATGAAAAAGACACTAGCTTTTTCTGGTGATGGTGATTACTGTTTACCTGCTAGAACTAGCACGCTCCGCTACAGTGATGAATGTTTGTTCGGCGGACTCACAGAGCTGTGGTGCAGTGCGAGAGTTGCTTCCAGCTCCTCGTTTGTGCCTTCTGACGAGGGTGGGTTCAAACTTTCACCTCAGTTGAAGCGCCTTGTGAAGCTGAACCTGTGGTTAGAGGTATGCCCTTAGCACACAAAATTAAGTATTTCTGGCCTATGAGGCAAAAAACATTCATCTTTTCAGTCCCATGGAACCCAAAGAACGTCATTCTACGTTCCTCCAAACCACGAGGACTTAACACACAAGATGGAAGTAGTTTTGGACGTACAGTGCTGCAACAGCAGTAAGTTCACCACACTACACAGAGAATATCTAATTAGGATTAGTCTCTAAATTAGACTCTTCAGAGGAGCGTAAACTAAAAATGGGATCCTGCTAAGCTGACTTGTGCATTGCAACAAATCCAGTTGCAGGAACTGGTCCTAATGCTTCCGCCTCCCCCACTCCCTCCCCTCTCCAGGAGATAAATACTGCAACAGTATCTTACTCATAGGCTGTTTCTGTAACAGCCGTCACTTAAATATCTATGTACCTAATGGACTTAGCCCTAACGCCACAGTGAGGGAGGGAAGCAGCATTAACCTCATTTTGCAGATAAACAGTGGAGGCCCTGATGGCTCTCTGCTGTCTTACATCTTATGGAGTAATCGCACGCGTGCCAAGTGAGTGTAAAAATGCTGTTGCACCAGATTGCAGTATTCACAGAGAGACTGACAGACCTTTGGCGTGCCCTCTGCACCTTTCATAGTATGACTATGAGGACAAAGGAGGTTTAGGAGATGGCTAAATTATCATTGATTTCTCAGCTACTGATTGCTCCACTCAGCCTGGGAAGACATGGGGCCTAGAACAGTGCCAGTGAACTATTCAACAGCAGGTAAGCTCGCTGTTGAACTGCGGCAATACAAGTCTCGCGTTCTCTGTCACTACCGCTTAGGATGGCATAGGGGCCTGCGCAAAGAAAAAAAAAATAGCGTGACGAATGTCATAAGAAATCAACTTTCTTCTTCTTCTTCTCCTAGTAAGACTGAAAACGCCAATATTCTGCGTGTCTGGTCCGAACCGAAGGCAAAAAGACTTAATTTTCTGGACTAAATATAAACATCGGCTGTGGAATGGGAGCTAGGCAACCACCCGGCGAGCAGGCCGTCAGGGCCTCGCTCTCCACAAACGAGCAGGGCCCACCTGTTAACGGCCCACAACAACTTCTACCCTAACGATTTCTGTGGCCGCTCCAACCGACGCTGAGCCGACGGCCCTGGCGAGAGGCGCCG